CCTTGACACTCATTCCCAGAATGTGCCTTCAATCTTCAGTTACTTGAAAAGAATTGCTTCTTATTCCAAACTGCATCGTGTATTACGATGAGGAGTGGTTGTGAGGCTTCGATTAAGTTTGGGGATACTTAAATTCTTATATTTATGTTCTTTGATGTTATTTCATTCAGATTGCTTCAAAATGTCCAATCAATCATGGAGTTTTGGAGTCAAGTGATTTGTGCTGATTCTGCTCATCATTTTTAGGGTGGAGTTAAATTCATTTTTGGCTGTGAATCTGTGCAGATTGTTCATCCCAAATACGATTGATGGCCCTAGAGGCATAAAAGTGACAAAGTTAATGAGTGCCATATAACAACAGGAGGGTTTCTGAGGAGTCCTGGGCTTGAGGCATAATCGTTTATTCACAGTTCCTCTCTGTTCTTTCTCCCAATGTGTCCACTTGAAACAAGACCCATGGTGCACGTAAGAGTCTCCTCGAAGTACAGAGGCATATATCTTGGTGTCAACTCTGTCATGTAGCCCACTTCCCTGCTGCTTGTGAAATGGTGGCCTATAACAGTTCACTGCTCTGTAAGACATGCTTGGATCTCTACAAGATAAGAACTTGGAAGAAGGTCTCTAAAGTTCTTTGCAAAGCTGACAGTCCCATGAATAATCTTGCACAATTTTATTACTCAACATCTTTTCTCCTCCTGTAGTCTCTTCGAGCTTCAGTTGCTTCATCCTCTCTAGAAATGAGATTTCCCAAAATAGGAGGCTGGGTAGTTTTCTTATCTTAAAGATCATTCTGAGAGGAGCGCACCTAAAGATATTTTTATTATCTTAAAAAAATCACTCAGATCACAACACACCTCTAAGTCACCTTAAGCCCTCTAGATGATTTCTTAAGCATGGCTTAACAGTAAACCTGCCCTCCCTATGACATTGCTGATAACCCCTGAGCTTTCCTATAATTCTAAGAGATAGCATTAATGATTTTTTTATGAGCCTTGTTTGTTAACTTCTACAGACATTTTGCATTCAAAATAGTTTTATTTCAGAGTATAGTTTATAGATAATACTAAAAGTGCAGCTTTTTCTGCAGGGATTACCTAAAGGAAAAGCTTAAGAGTGATTTGCCCATGACAGATCAAGAGTGGGTGCTACCTGGCACATCATTCCAAAAGGAAATTTTAAGAACTCAGCATAGCCGAGTTTCCTAATAAGACTATATCCTTTCCTTCACATCCACAACCCTGACATCAATGATGGAATCTTTTATTAAAATGAGGATTATAACATTAACTCTACTAGTAAATCATCAATAGCATCTTGCTTATGAGCAAAATATTAGCCATGATGATAGAATGTTTCATGATGATGATGTGGTGGCTTTCATAAAAAGACATTATTATTTTATTGGTGATGTGGTGCAAGCTAAGAGTTTCGAAAAGGAGAGGGAAAAACTCAAATTCTATTTTTATCTTTTCTGCCACTGACTCAGTATGTTCTTGAACCACTTACCTATGCACACAAGTGGCTTAGTTTATAAAGTGAGAAAATGCTTTAGATTCCTGATTTTAATGTTGGAGGACTGCTGAGGTCACTTATTTAAATATTTTTCTTTGCACTCCTTAGAACACGGGAACTTTATAAATATTTAGTGTTAATGTTGCACCTTAGGTACAAGCAGACAGGAAAATTATGATCCTCCCAAGAAGAAATAACCTACTTCAAACCATCATAGTTCCTACTGAGCAACTTTGCATTGGCTTGCTTCCATCTGACTGTCTGCAGGGTTTCCTTTTTTCCCTACCCTCCTTTTCCCAGCCCCTCACAGTTGACTAATGTGGAAATATAAATAAACCTTAGCAACATAGGGGCTAGAGGTGAGGAAGTTCAAATGAGTAATTTGGTTGAATGTTCTGAACTGTTTGTAGGATCTCACTGAATTATTAGCTTTGTTTATTGTTTGTTTGTTTGATTTTTTTTTTGTCTATTCATGTGTTTCAAGGATACAGTGAGAAAAAAAGTCCCTTACACTCCCACAAATATAATGATAGCTGGTTGTGTTTTCAGTCACTCTGTTTATTTCCAGTGGAGCCTTAAAAATTTAATTCATTTGTTTCTTTGTAAATTTTTGCCCAGGGAGCCAGTTGCTTCAAGGCTTTAATGGAACTGGGTTTTGGAATGATGTTCCAGGAATGCATACAAGGGTTATTTTTGGCCGATGGATTTTAAGATTTTTGTTTTGTTTTGTTTTAGTTTACTTTCTTATTCATGCTTAAAAATGTCTTGGCTTTTTTTCTTTAAGTAAGCATATTTCCCTTTTTACAAAAACAATAGTTTAAAAAATAAATTTGGAAGCCTTGCCATTGATTTTATTTTCTCTCTGCCATATCCTCTGAGTTTTTCATGGATCTTTGCTTTCGTTCTATTTCTCTTTCCTCTCCTCTAAAACACACACACCCCTTCTTCTCTGTTTCATTCCCTTTCCAATGATTTCCCTTTTCTTTTGCCAGTTGAACATTGAACCCAGGGCCTTACATGTGCTAAGCAGTTCCTGTTCCACTGAACCACACCTCCAGCCTTCTTCCTGCTTGCCTAACAAAATAAAGACAAATAGCAATACAGTAGGGAAATGGAGTCTTGTGTGCCATTGAAGTATAGAACTGGTTTTATCCAGGGAACTCGGGCAGTTTACAAAGCACACAAGATACATTTTTTACAGTTTGTCTTGAATTACTGGGTTACTCCAAACCAAAATAGAATGGGCCTCTTGAGTATCAATTACACTAAAAATGTTGTTTGTTGATCTAATCTTAGGATAAATACATTAGTTTGAATGTTTCTTGAATATTCAGGGCATTTAGATTTAACGCACTCATACCAAAAGACAGTGATCTTAATGAATAAAAACAGTTTAAAACTTTCTCTTTTATGTAGTTGTGTGTGGTCTTTTCTATTTTTGCCTCAATACTAATGCAGAGCAGAAGATTCACATCTGGGGCCCAAACTTTTCCTTTGTGTTCCAACTTGGTTGAGAGAATGCTTCTAGTACACGCAGCTATCCATTCTCGAGCAAATACAAAGAGACACCTATTGTGTGCTCTCTCTATTCTAGACGGGGAGATAAAACCAAGCACCAGATGTGGTTCCTGACCCAAAAAGGGTTCTGAAGAAAAGCAAGTGCTGAGCCAAGCAGAGCACTGACGCATCCTGGTGCCACGGGACATCTGGACAGAAGATTCCTGGCACTATTGCATCATAGTGCATCAGCTGAGGCCAGCAGGCTATGCAGTGTGAAAAGAGGATCTGAAGACATTTCAAAGGTTCTAAGGTTGGAATAAGATAAACCTGACAAAGCACACAATCTGGAAAAGGACTGTGATGGGAAGGGGACTGTGTGTGATGGGAAAGGACATGGCTCTCCACTGAGGGCCTGCAGGTAGTGTTCATGCATCTCCAGGACAATCCATGAGTGACAGGAAAGTGATGGAACGTGTACTCAAAATAGTAAGTGAGGATCATATTCTAGAAGGTATGATGTCATTTGATTTTCCTAAGCAAATAGACAATGTACTGATACATGTGAATTTGGGGTTTATATAAGGGATCTCAGAAAAGCAGATAGCAGTGATGTGTTGATGTTCAGGTTCATCCATGCTAGGAGGGCTTTTGGGAAACTGGAAATACTTTAAATGTCCCCAAACCCTGCCCAGTAGAGTGAGAGGCTGCTGGGAGACATGAGTGTCTCTCCTGTGTCAACTCCTCTTGGCCTTGGTGTCCACCATTTTGTTCTGTTTTCCATATTCCCCTTCTCTTCATGGCTCAACCAAGTCCTGCTGTTTGTAGGAACACAGTTCTAAACCTGCCACTGTTTGCTGTCTCTGGAGAGCAGAACACTGCTGACTCTGATACCTGCCCAGCGGGTTCTTTTGGAATGGAAGAATCTGGTAGAATCTATACTCTCAATCATTCAGTCTTTTAGCTGTATCTCGGGCCCTGTGATTTCTCAAGGGTTCAGCATCACTTTTCGAATGCTGACCTTCTGCCTCTGGTTTCATTGTGCGGATCTTGGCCATTTTAGGTAACTCCCATGCTCTACTTATCTCCTTCACATGACCAAACGCACTTAATCCGGAGAAGAACAAAAAGTTAGATTCATGTTGGTAACTTTGTCATAGACAGGGGACAAGACATGGAGGGAGAAAACAGGAGTAAGAAAAGACAAAACAAAAAAGCAGGCCGAACTGGGACTAAAGAGCAAGAATACACGCGCAGGTGGCCTTGTGGAGACTCCAGAGTAAATAGCACACGTGGGTAGTGTTCCTTTCATCCATAATTTTCACCGGATACCCAGCGAGGCCAATGAGGCCGATGTGGTATGTTAGAAGCTACCTAGAACTTTTTCTCTGAACCATGGCTAGCTAACCCTAGTGGATCACATAGGTAATTTAGAGTTGTCAAATGCCCTGTGGCGCTTTCTGAAGACAGTGCGATGGTCCAAGGTCGTCAAAAAGGAAACAAAACAAAACGATGGCCAGGATTTGAAATATCAAGGGGGAAAAATAAAAGAAAAAAAATAAGATTTTTATTGCAAATCAACCCCGACTACGACGGCGCAAGAGTTGGGTAAAATTTATTCCTACACCACCCAACCAAAGGAAGCCAAACCCAGCCCTGTAAGACTTGGGGGCCCCAGGGAAAGAGACTCAGGAGACGCTGCATCCCTGACCTGGGGGGACCCCTACGCAATCCTGCTCATCCAACTCAAGGTCCCAGCCAAGGGCGGGGGCGGCAGGTGGATCCCGGGAAAGGCTGAGTGTGGTGGGACTGGGGAGGAGAGGGAATCCGACCAGATACAACCAGACGGGGCGGCGCGCAGGGCCCGGGGCGGGAAGCGCGGGAGGGCGGGGCGGGGGCCGGGCGCGGCCGCCCCAGGGGCGGTCCCAGACCTCGGGCTCGCCCCGCCGCCTGCTCCGCGTGCCGCCCCGCGCTCCCCAGTGCCTGGAGCCCAGGTGGCGGCGGGCAGGAGGCGCCGAGGATGTGCGGCTGGCCGCTGCTCCTGCTGTGGGGGCTGCTCCCCGGGGCGCCGGCGGGGGGCTCGGGCCGCTCCTTCCCGCACCGCACGCTCCTCGACGCGGAGGGCAAGTACTGGCTGGGCTGGGGCCAGCGGGGCAGCCGGCTCGCCGTGCGCCTCGAGGTGCGCACCGCCGGCTACGTGGGCTTCGGCTTCTCGCCCACCGGGACCATGGTCTCCGCCGACATCGTCGTGGCCGGGGTGGCCCACGGGAGACCCTACCTCCAGGTAAGCGCGGGCCGGCTCGCCCCGCCGAAAGAGCACGGGTGCGGGGCGCCCCGGGGACCACGGGCTGGGCATCATCTTGGCCTGCGCACCCCTACCTTGGCGACCAGGTAGGGTGCTGCCTGTACCCCGGAGCCCAAGGCACCCCCGGGCTCCCCGCCTCCCTAAGCGCTGCGCCATCGGGGGCTTTTCGCCTCCCCGGGAAACCAAGCGCTCTGAGGCCAGCTTTGGTTTCCTTTCTCTGGGCACCTTCCTGTCCCAACTTCACCCGCACCAGACCCCCTCGCTCAGGAGCACACCCCTCACGCCCGACCCCCTTCAGCCTTTCGTGGGATGCCCATACTTTGGAGTCCTAGGGCAGGGAAGAGTGGGGACCAGAAAACATTAGCACCTCCCCATTCTTGCTGTTGAGCGTTGTGAATCTAAGGACCCCCACCCCCACCCACCCCCGCCCAGTCCTGGGCTATTTTTGAACCCTGGCCTGATGTCCTTACACCGTCCCGAGATGAATGAAGGGACCTTAAGAATGTCTTTAGGAAGTTGGTTATTCTGGGAGCTATGTAGCCAGATGAAGAGAGCTTCGTAGTCTCAGGTCCCCGAAGCAGAAGCTTTCATTCAGTAGCAACGTATTTTTAACTTACTTTAATAAGTAGGGAAATTAATTCAATCTCTTGCTACCGCTTTGCTGCCAGGGATCTGGCGTGGCAGTGTTGCCTGTTCATAGGTGTCTTTATGCTTAGAAAAATTTTATGCAATGACCAGAATAATTAATTGGATTCCTAGGTTTCCTGGACATCTTTGATCCTGACCAACATTTGGATGGTGATGAATGTACACTCTCTGTGACCTATCAGTCTTCGTCCTACCCCAGTACCCTCTGCTAAAGCGCTAGATGAAAATGTCACTTGTTCTGGTATATTGTCTTACAGCCTGGGTAAAATTAAAATGTTCTCCGTGGATTCCAGGGTGTGTGTGTGTGTGTGTGTGTGTGTGTGTGTGTGTGTGTGTGTGTGTGTGTGTGTGTGTGTGTGTGTGTGTGTGTGTGTGTGTGTGTGTGTGTGTGTGTGTGTGTGTGTGTGTGTGTGTGTGTGTGTGTGTGTGTGTGTGTGTGTGTTTTATAGCAGTTTTACTCCTGAGTTCTAAGTTCGATTTGGCGTTTGAACTCTGATTCTGGCACTGAGTTATTGACTTTGGCTAGAAACAAAGTGACAGTAATAAAAAGTTCAAAGCTGCCTTATTGTCTGCTTTTCTACAAATCAATCGTTTCCTCCCCAAATCAGTACTCTGCCTCAATAAAATAAAGGTTTATGAGGAAGACACCCTACTGACGTCATGATTTATATACATTATATACATTCTCCTGCAACCTCTTAGAAATTCTCAACCAAGAATATGATAGCAAACACAGACCTTACAAGCTGACTGCTATGTTTAAATAGACATACAATACTTACATACCTAATTCAGTCAAAGTTGTTTTTTTTTTAAATTTGCTTTGCAAATAGAAGAGGGTACTATGCCCCTAAACTATCTTTACATGGTCTGTAGGAAGGGAAAGAAGTATTAGAGTGGTAATCTTATACATCAGAGTGCACTTTACAAGTTAGTGTGATATTATTTTTTGTCAAAAGAAGCCAATTTCTAGAAGGCCCACCCAGTCTGATATGAAATGATAGAGTAGAATACTGAGTTCATTGGCTCATCACAAATAGATTTTATTAGATAGCTACACAATATTTATACATTGTTAGTTGTTGGTTTTTCAAGAAGACTGGGTAAGACGTAAGTGTGCTTTAGATTGATTTTGAAACGTGGAACTTCTCTTAAAGTAGTAAACACATGTCACTGTGAGAGAAAATACATATGGACACTTTCTTATTCATGGAACGAGTAAGAAATAGGATTTTCTATTTGCTATTCACTTTCCTCTTTTTTCTCACTTGGCTGATACTCTTTATTATTCCATTTTCTCAGGTATCCCATTGATTGTAGGACATGTAAAATGAATCGGCTAACTGGGAAGAGAGCTTATTTAAAACCTCATTAAGAAGCCAGGTGCAGCTGACTCATGTCTATAATCCTAGCTACTCAAGAGGCTGAGATAGGAGGACTGTGGTTTGAAGCCAGCCCCAGGCAGGAAAATCCATGAGACTCTTATTGCCAATTAACCTCCCTCCCCCCCCCCCCCCCAAATGAAGCTATGACTCAAGTGATAGAGTGTTTGCCTTGAGCAAAAAAGCTCAGGGATGGCACTCAGGCCCTGAGGTCAAACCATAAGATTGGCACTCAAGCACATGTGCTCACGTGTACCCCCCCCACCCCTCTTTGAAAAGATGAAAGATATCAAAAATAAGTTTTAAAAAAGTTTAATTCCAGAAGGATCCAGGCTAAGGGATTCCATTTTCCAATCAAATTTCTCTCCATGAATTATTTATTTGAGGGTTTTCTTACATTAGTTTGAAAAAAGTATCTTAAAATACTATAACCAGAAAATAAGTATGATTTTTAGATGTAGTGTATGTATGTGGACTATTAGCAGACTGTAATCCCAGTGAGCACAGACTTCTCAAGGAACAATGGAACAAAAGGCCCTGGCTCCTGGGGCATCTGTGGAAGTAAAACAGCCAGATAGTAGAAATGGCATTAGACAGTTTGACGGAACCTAAGCTGACAGCCCAGTCAATGCATCTTGTGTTTTGTTTTGCTTCTCTTCCTCTTTATTTTACATCATCCTCTCATTTAACTTTAAACTTGAACCTTAAATTTTATTATTTTGACTTAATTTCTAATTATCTTAATCTCGTTTTTGTCAAATGGTGCTAACTTCTCTATGACTGTCTATGTAAGTGCACATTCCGTAGCTATCCAGGTAAAGACGGTTGGCTGAATAGCTGCTATAAACCTAAGTGTCGGAAGGAAACGGATGAGTGGCAGGGGCTTCGGTGGAGAAGGCAGTGTACAATGGACAGAAATGGGCCTTGTGGAAATGAGAGTTTTTGTGCGGAAGTTACTGCTACAGGGGAATAAACTTCTATATCGCCAGATTTTCCATTTGTCTTTTTTCAAAAGAAAGATTGTGTGTGTGTGTGTGTGTGTGTGTGTGTGTATGCATGTGTGTGTGTAAGCCATTTGATTACTAAATACTGGCAAGAATTCAAATTTGTACAAAGCAACTATGTACACAACGTGCACACGCATATAGGCTTTTGGGTGGAAAATATCCCATAGTGCAACCGATGTAGGACCAGATTAGTTAAGAGCTAAAACCAATTAAAAAATCAATCCAAATTATAAAAATCCATGAAAGGCAGAGAGGAGAGTCTCATTTCTTTCCCCCCTCCTTTTATTTTTATTGTAGAGAGGGGTTATAGTTACATAGGTCAGGTAATGAGTACATTTCTTTTTGAACAGTTGTCACCTCTTCCCTCATTTTCTCCCAATATTTTTTCCTTCCTGACCCTCCCCCCCCAAGCTGTATGTATAGTTCATTTTTAACATAATGTCTAATGAGCTTCACTGCTGAACTTTAGACTGAGTTTATTCTAAATCAGGAAATGACTCCAGTATTGAAGGCTGCTGTTTCAACTACTGATTCTTACTTAAACCACCCTAAAACATAGTGACATAATGACTCTGATTTTGCTCACAAACTTGGATATTGAACAGGGCCTGGTGGGTTCTGTTCTGCTTTGCTTCATTCTGTGTCATCTCAAAGGTGGGTGGGTGGAAATATCTGAACGCTTGCTCACCTGAATGTCTGCTTGGTGGTTGGTGTTGGCTATGGACAGGACCCTCAGCCAGTTCTGTAGTGGGATTGTGGTCTGTCCATGTGGCTGCTTAGCTTCCGCACAGTGTTATGGCTGGTGCCAAGCATGAACATCCCAGAGGCCCAGGTAGAAACTGTATAGCCTTTTATAATCTAGCCTTCGAGTGAGTGCATAGCATGTTTTGCTGTTGCTATAGGCTTACTGATTCAAGAGGAATCATAGACTCCATCTAATATCACAGCAATGGACTGCATTAGTACTTCCATCTTTGGAAAATATGTTCTACCATACTTATTCTCATTGGCTTGCCACAGTCTCTTTCCCAGAACCTATCTACATGGATCCCTTCTCTCGATGCTACTTACATCAGGGGACAATGTTTCCTATTCACATTCCTTCCTTTCTTCTCCTCCCTTTCTGACATATTCCACCATCGTGTTAGTGAACACTTGGTGACCTTTGCAATGTCTTATTGCCTACTCTTTCTGTCACCTCCTCTTGTGCCTCTCCCCTGTAAAAGAGTTTGGTACTTTAGTAACCTCATATTTTTCCAGTGGTTACTGATTACTAGTTCTAGGTTAAGCCCAGTGAGATTACCTCAAGACTGCAGTATAATATTTGCTTGCATTCTTACTGAGCTTTAAAAAAAAAACAGGCATCAGGTTTAACCATCCTTAAAACTGTACCTGGGGCTAGGCATGGTCATACATGCCTGTAATCTCAGCATGTTACAGGCTGAGGCAAGTTGATTGGGAGGTGCGTGGTAGCCTGGGTCCCATAGTGAGACTTTGTCTCAATGTAAACAAACAAACTCTCAACCTGGAGTCTGTTACAGTTATGGAACAGTTCCCTGCTCATTTTGTGAGATTTTTGACCCCACCCGAAGACCTTTTTCCTCAAGGGAAATGTAGACCAGGTATAATCAAAATGGGGATGAAAAGGACATGTTGTGTTTGGAAGGGAAGCCTGTCTCTATGGATTTGCTGGATAGAATCCTCTGGAGTGGTCTGCACTTGTGGAAGCATCCGGGTCACTTCCTACACTGTCTCTGGCAGAAGGGCCGGGTTGGGGGCTGGGAAGCAGTCTGTCCTTTTGCATTGGCTTTTCAGACCTCACTATTTTGTCTCAGTGAATAAGTTCAACTTTCATTTCCCTGATGGATTCGTGTCCCTTCCTTGTTCTTTGCCCCTTTTTGACACACAGCAACTCCACCCCCATCCGAACTATTTAGCAACT